ATTAAAATTTTGTAAGTTAATTTTATGTTTAACACATCTAGAGAACCCTCAGAACGAGTGCTAATTGAAAGATTGTAGTTTACAACACCAGAACATCTCTTATCGTATGAAGTCACTCGAATGAACCCATGAATAGATCTCAAGCCACCACAAATCCGGGTACGATGAATAGAGTGAGAGAGAACTTGAACAATTGCACTCCATTAACAGACAATTAACCTTGACCATACCAAGCAGAAGGCAAACGTAAAGTAAAGGTACTCCAATTGTGCTTATGCATCTTCATTCATTCCCAGCTGGGCTCTACTCTATTATGCTCTTTTTTTTATTGGACGTCTCAATGCCAACGATGAGCCCTGCGTGTAGCACATCCGGGTTGATGCTGGACTGGATGACTAAGAATTGAATCTGAATCCATCAATTGCGGTCTGAGATGTAGATGCGGAAGACAATTTTCCTGCACATCTGGCCTGTTCTAATTTCAGATTCAAAAATCAAAAAATGAAATAAAGTGGTAGCACTAAAAAACAAGTTCCACTCAATTATAAACTTGGCTTTTAATTGAAAATGGGGGGTTTTTAAAAAGTTACCATAAATCGATATTATTATATCGAATCACCATCAAACAGCATTCTCAGGTTGAACAAAGCAAATGGGTATGGGACAGCATTCAAATTTGCTACTGAATAAAATGAAGAAAACAATCGGAAATATGATTGGCAAGACATATACGTCTGTACGTCTTAAAGGGGCCTTTTTATTAATTGAGGTAATTCAATTTTTACCTCAAATAACTAAATCGAAAGGTAGACCGAAGATCCCCAAGCATATGTGTAAATCATAGACGACTCCATAAACTGAAGTCAGTAATCCTGAAAGTTCGGTAATACCAGCACTTCGATTTGAGTGTATATAGTTCATTAAAATTCTCTGAAAATGTGTGATTTATTAAACCACTCTTTTCTTTTCTTCTATTTGAATGAAAACAATTGGACTTCTCCATCCAAATTTGAACGGAGTATTGCAACCTTGAGGTTACTCATAGACTGAGTAAAATGTTCCTCGATTTTCCAGGACAAACTTTTCGAATATGAGTAAAATCGAGAGAGGTTTCACTCAGACTGAGTAAAATTTTCTTCGATTTTCCTCATCTTCGAGCAGATTTTTTTAGGAAAAGCGAGTCAAATTTTACTCAGTTTATGAGTAAGCACTCAATTTTGAGTCGATCTCATCGGCCGCGCACGATCGAAAGCAGCTCGTCTTTTGGTGAGTGCTGACAGAAACAGTACAAAACATCTGATTGATGAAGGTTTTTGAAAAAAAAAGTAGAAGAGTCTGTGCCTGTAGGGACAAGAACGGAGGCTTGACGTAGGACCGCTAGTGGACGGAACAAATACGTTGATCATTTAGTTCTTAACTCTTTCCGTTTTTGAATTGGTGGCCCCGAAAAGGGCCGGTTGTTTTTCAAATGGTGGCCACACCAGTGCAAGTCAATGCCAACCGGATGGTGCCTATTGCGGGAAGCCTTGACACATATACCGATTTATCTGTAATGATACAGATTTTTCCAAAAAATTTGGTACAGATATCTGTATTTACAGATTTTTTTAAATATACATGCTTAGAATTTTTTACAGAATTCGGTAAACAAAAACACCGAAATTTATCTGTAAAATGTATATTACAGATTATTCGGTAAAAGTTAGGTATTTTCCATCAATTTGTCACAGACTTACCGAAATACTGTAAATAAAAATGAATACCGAACAATCTGTAATGGTTTTTACTGAATTATCTGTAACACATGGAAATTTACCATAAATCGGTAATTTCTCACCGAACTTCTGTAAGAACCTTGTGCAGCCATCTTGTCAAATCTGGAAAGCAAAAAAAATCACAAGTGCTTGACGCGCCGGTAGTAAAAGTATCTGAAAAAGTGCGAAAATGGACAATTTCATGGACAAATTGCATGGACAGGACGAAAGGATAGTCAGTGTCTTCCGTAAGTAATATAAAACACTTATTTAATTATGAACTTTTGTTCTAGCCTTCGATAATCTGTTTTTTTTTGCCATGCCCAAGTTCCCGGCTACGTTGCTGGCTTGCACCGCCATGTAAACAGCCATATAAAAAATAATGATTTCCGCTCTTGTGTTACGTTTTTTGATTGTACATTTCCACAATGCAATTCACGATTTGCCAAATTTTACACTCTCAAAAGGCACATAATTGAGAAACATCCCTTGGATAATGTTATGAACAGAACACTTGAACATGACTTACGGCATACATTAAACACTGACGAATATCAGGAACAGCAGGAACATGAGCAGAATTTGAGTTCCAGTCCAGCACAAGTAATGCAACTGGAAGAGATTCGAAGGATTATTAATCTTAACGTTTGTCGATTGACAAGCGATGTTAGTCTGCCACAATCCAAAGTCAGAGAAATAATCAAGTTTTGTGATTCAACTATTCAGCATGTTACTGATTACTTGGAGAAACAAGTCTTTAAGTTTCTGGAACTTCATAGCATTACGCTTCCTGATAGCGAGCTCATAAGGTTGCGAAACACTTTTCATCTGAACGATATGTTTTCTCAAATCGACTCGTTTACGAAGCAAAACAAATTTTTAGATAAAATGACCGTGCAAACCCCTGCGCCGTCGACAAGATGTTCGTCACATAAATTCGCTCCCTAAGAAGGTTTTGGTTAACGAAACAGCGTCGTACATAAGCATTGTAGATACGCTTAAATTATTATTCAGAGATCCCAGTGCAAGACAGCTTTTGGAAGAGCCAGAATCAGTAGACACTCCTTGTGTTATAGAGTTTAGCTCGTTCAAAACGGGAGAATCGTTCAAAACCAATGAGTATTTCAAAGAAAATCCAAACTGCATTCGTTTGAGCTTATATCAGGATGATGTTGAGCTGTGTAATGCATTAAGTTCAAGGGCTGGAGTTAATAAAATTTGCAACTTCAGCTTTAAAATACAGAATATACCAGAAAAGTGGAACAGCTCACCCCGAACAGTGTTTCCATTACTTTTTTGCACCTCCATTGATGCTAAAAAGCATGGATACAAAAAAGTACTCCAACCCTTGATCGATGATTTGAAAAGACTGGAAGGAGGTGTTACAGTGTTCTACGGCAATCAACAATTTGTGATAAAAGCAGTGGTCACCATGTTTTGTGGTGACACATTAACGGTACACGACGTGTTTGGGCTGTTAGGGCCAAGTGCCAAGTATTTCTGCCGTATTTGCCAGATATCCAGGGCCGAGTTTCATAACAATCCTTCAGGTGAATTCCCCCTTCGAAACAGGCAATGGTATGACAACCAACTTAAAGCAGTCCAAAATGGAGAGGTTTCCTCGAAAGATTGCGGATTGAAGCCTATCGGTTGTGTCCTCAACGAACTTCAAAACTTTCACACATCTGCAAACTATAACCTTGATGGTATGCATGATCTAGCAGAAGGAGTGGTCCCATTGTCAATCCAGTTAGTACTCTCCAATTATTCCAAGCAAAAGGATCTGAAAATTAATGCAACCTATATAAACAATCGTATAAACACATTTGCCGATGGATACACTGATCGCCATAACAAGCCATCAGCAAACTTTACGGAGGAAATGCTGTCCCATCCCAATTTACACAGAATAAAGCAAACATCGGCACAAACTTTATTACTTCTGAGGAGTTTTCCATTTCTCTTTGGTCACAAAATCCCATCTGATTGCCAATTGATGAATATGATCGGGCACTTAATCAACATTGTGAGAATAATTATGCCTACAGTAGTTTCAGAACACCTGCTACTTCAATTGCAGGATCACCTAACTTTTTTCGAACAAACCTTTTACACAACTTTTAACCGTCGCATAAATAAACTTCACCATCTAAAACACTACGCTCTATGCATAACGAAAAGTGGTGCCATGAAGCAGTATAATTGTTTGCAGTTTGAACAAACTAATAAAGTAAGAAAAGATCAATCTGCAACGTGTAAAAACTTCAAAAACATTTGCCACAGCCTAGCCAAACGGCAATGTGTTAGAATGGTCATCAACATACTGGATAACCCTCTATGCGACAAGCTTACTTTTTCGTCTGGAATGCTTCTTAATCGCGAAGAATGTCTGAGCGAAGTTCATTTGGATCCTTCCGTACAACTCATTTTTGTACCCAAAACGGCGCATTTGAATGGAGTAGAATTCAGGATTAATCTAGTAGTAGGCGTAAAAAAGCATTTAGATGAGTATTACCCTACTTATGGTATCATCCAAGAAATTTTAATCATCGACAACAAACCTCAGCTTCTGTTGCGGTTGTGCAAAACAAAATGTTACAAGGATTTTTACGAAGCATATGAAGTAGAAGTAACAGATGCTTATGAGTTGTTTTCTTCGGAAGAATGTTTTACGCACGCAACATTCGCCTTTTGGTCGCCATTCAAATGTTCCTATAAGTACATCTCAAGACGATTTTACAATCAGGATTATTAGAAGTAGGCCATTTCTGCTATAACTTTTAATATACATCTAGTATCTTATAACCGCTTATCTATTTCAGAAAGAGAAGAAATTGACGACTTGGATACCTTCCTACAACTTGATGACAATGACTTTACAAGACTGAACCTAACTACTAAAATGATTAAAATTATTCAACGTGTGCAACGGGAGTACGATCAAGCAGGTGCGCAGGTTGAAGACGATCCACTCGGACTACACCCTGGTACAGGAGTCAATTCAACTATCAAAGTAATTCACCAAACAATACAGCATACAACTACCTCCGCGTCCTGTTCTACAACTACTCAACTGTCATCTTCTGCAACTGATCCGAACGACAATCCATACCAAGAAATTAACTTGGATGAGGTAAGCTTGATTATTCATACCTTATTGTAATTGAAAATTAACTGAATAATTAATCTTTTTAGATCATCAATATCGACCGTGTGTTTGAGAAAACTGAGGAAGGCATTGCAGTCATGGAAGCACTGAAAGAGACAACAAAATCAAATGAGACAATCATCAGAAAAGTTGGTAATATACTATGTGACTGCCTGAAGTCACTGTACGGCTGGTAAGCATTATAACGTCTATGGGCCCTATTATGTAAGCCAAGTCGAGCGTCATTTTTGTCACTAATCTATCTTGGTATCCGTTCTGTAATATCAAAGTAGACCAGTGACCAAAAGTGACGGTCGTCTTGACTTACATACACAACCCACCATAAGTATCGAATCACTTCAAAAGCAGTTGAATATTGCAGCACCTTGAAATGTTTGGACTCATCTAATATATATTAAGTGATGCAGGATAATTCCAACTTTTTGGAGATGCTGCAATATTCACTTTGAGTGTTGAAATACTTTTCGAAGCGATTCGATACTTATGGTGGTAAGTATAATAGGGTCCTATCTAAAAGAAAACTAAGGCTAGCACTTAATCATGAATACATCCCGATCAACATACAATTACTTCTGACACAACAACTTGCAACAGTTGAAAAAACATCAAACAAACTAAGGCGTACTAGTTCTGGAAATTACACCAGCTTTGACGGTATACACCCATTGTGATACAAGAACATTTAAATCTTCTACGCTGTAATTGGTTCACGCCATAGCTGATGCCCTAATTTTGTCAGATTACGTTGAATGCAACACTTGAATAAAGTACAATCCATACTGCTATACTGTTACTTATAATAATAACATGAACTGTAATTCTCATTTCAGCCGCCCGTGCAACTTTTATAAAAACCAGATTGCAGTTTTACTTGTCCAATCATACCCGATTACGGCTGCTGAGTCAACTGAAACGCCACAGGTGAGGGATTGAAGTCTGATATTGTATGGTTTCACTTATCGCAGATCAATTGTAGGCATTGTGGTTCCACCCACATGCTAGGGGAACCAATCGGCATGCAGGACGCATTCATTATAGAATGAAGTACCTCTCCCGAAAATCTGAAGAACGCGTAACCAAGCGCCGACGAATCGCAGACCAGGAAGAAGATGTCCAGCTCATTTCTCCAGCAGCACCTGAAGATATCGATAAAGCTGTTAGTTATTTCAAAATACATATTGTAAGGCTATGTTTATTAATATTTTAAATTATGATTCCAGGAAAGCGAGTTGAAATTCATTATTCCAAACTCTCAGATGAAATCCAGAGTGATCGAGTTATGGAATGCAACGTTCAAGATGCGACATCAATACCGTATCGAAAACCAGTTCATCGGGTATGCGGCAGATTTTCCGGTTATAACCGCCTACAATGGAGAATTGGTAAATATTCGGAAAGCTTTACTATAATTTATTAGCATTTTATATTGATGAATAATTTTGATGTTTTTTTTTTTCGTTGTACAGCTAACCATGGATTTTAAGATTATTCATCAGAAAGCAGCAGCGTTTCTGGACAAATGGGATATTTTGGAACCAAAGATAAGTGTTCGTTATCACAACCTTTTCAAGGAATTGAAAAACGGTATGCAAATGGTATGTTTATCTTGATAAATGTCGTAATTTGTTTTCTATGACTACTAGATTTTGTGCGAGCTCTTGCAATTGTTCGATGCAAGAATCCGTCACGTGGCTCAAAACGTATTAAGGGGAGGTTTACTTGGATTTTTCAAAAAAATTGATTTTTTGCATAAAATGAAAGCTACAAGTGTGTAGAATATGTGGCCAAAAGGATTTTACGATCCGAAACATATTTAGCGAGTTATGGCGCTTTGAGTGAACCTTTGACATGCGCGCTGAGGGATGCTACAAAAACTTTAAACGCGTTTTTCTCGAAACCATATTTTTTTATAACAACTTAGAGCATAGGGCTTGAACAAATGATCCGATTAACAATCGAAAAATTGCGCTTTGAAGGATACTATTTTTTGCATGGCTTATACCTAAAATGAAAAAAAAATTGTTAGTTACTATTTTTTAAGCAAGGTCAAAGTGAGAAAAAAAGGGGTAAAAAAAGCACTAAATTTTCAAATGTCCATAATTTGGTCAATTTTTGTCGGATTTCGTTCTAGTTAAGTATAAGCCATAGGGAATATTATCAACTTTAACCACAATAAAAAAATTTCATTTCAGTTCACCACCAGAGGGTGTGCACTCGAAGTTCTGCAGCAAAACCTGACTGACACTCCTCCACGCGAGCCGCCATTTTGAGCCGCCATTTTGTTTTTTTACCTTCAAAAAATTTCCAAATATTCAGGAATAGTGGACAAATATAATTATCGAAACCGGAAGTTCGTATGCCTTTTCATTCTTCTGAAAAAAAATTCCAAAGTTCAACTGTTTTTCAGCCAAATCCAAGTAAACCTCCCCTTAAAGAAAACGCGCCAACCAGCAGAAATCCTCTGCATGGAATTATTGAGTGGATCGATGTGAGTATTGAATATTGTGAAAACTAATAAAAAACTAAGAATAAAAACGGACAACAAAACAACGCCCGTACTGTTCGTTCGCGGTGTGGAATTCGAGGACTCAATCGATTGTGCTGTTGTGTGGAACAATATTGTCATCCCAATTCAAAAGAGTATCAAAAGCTCTTTTGATGTATTCGTGCAGTCGTTCTATGTTTTCAACACTGCTGCTTCTCTCAGCGACAAGCAGTTTTTTTTTTTGTTTATCGCAGGGGCTGCAATGGGTGTTGAACAGTTGAGCACAACGGGTACTAAGTTTTTGCACAGTGTTCAATAGTTTGATTGGAATAGATTTGTATTCATTAAAGAGAAAAGTAAAATATATGCACAAAAACTAAAAAAAATCAGCAAATCGAATTTTACATGATTATTCCGAAAAAATATCTGAATTAAGTAGCTTCTAATAAGAATAAAATAATTAAAAGCACAGTTTTAACAGATTATTAAAAAAACACAGAAAGATTCGGTAAAACGAAAGTTCATTCTTCCAAAATTTTACCGAAGAATTTGTAAAAAAAAATTACCAAACGGTTCGGAAATTGCAACAAAAAATTACAGATTTTTCGGTAATCTAAAAAATCACCGAACACATTACCGAACGTTCAGCTGTTGAGATTTCGGTAAAATTTTACAGATTTCTGTAAAAAAAATCTAAGTGTGTACAGATTTATCAAATAAGTGGAATATTTGTTTAACTCTGGATTGTATTGTTTAATATCCATACAAAAAATAATTTCTTCCTTTTGAGTAGGTACAAGCAACTAACCACATACCAATTTTTAGCTTTTTATTTTATTATCTTCGTTAATCTTGAACGGACTTCTGATGCTTAGATGTACTGATTTCTGATTGCTTAGAAGGGACATTAGAAATGAATGAAAAACTAATGTCCCTTCTAACCAATCTAAGTCCCTTCTAAGAAATCAGAAATCAGTACATCTAAGCATCAGAAGTCCGTTCAAACTTAACGAAAATAATAAAATAAAAACCGAAAAATTGGTATTTGGTTAGTTGCTTGTACCTACTCAAAAGGAAGAAAGGATTTATGGATATTAAACAATACAATCCACCATATCACATGGTGACAGGCACTATTTTTTTCTTTTATTTTTCGAATCGGTAAACAAGCCGTTTTAACAACCCAGCTGATTGATTACAGTTTGTGAGTCGAAGAATCAACTGGATATTTTGACATTTGACTAGCGTAATCTCAGAGATAAAGAATATTCTATGCAATTCTACCAAACATCCAAATAAAAGTTATGTGTTGTGACCAAATACAATAAAGTTGATAAAACATATGAACACGATTGCAAATAGAGAAATACACATGAAACCATCCCAAAGTTTTTCACAAAAAATACTGATTACACATAAGTATTTAGGTTCGAGCAACAGCTAGCGAATTCAATTTCCTTTTAATCTGCCAAATAAAGTTGAAATTTGGTTCGATTAGATGAATTTGGGAAAATGAAACATCGAGCATAACATTTTACAATGAATACTCCATAAAAAAAATAATTCTTGAATAAAAAAAGTAAGAGGTTGCATCCAAGACTCGACCGTAGATTTGACGTAGGATTACGTGCTCGGTATCAATATTTGGCGACTATGTTAGGGAAACCACTTTTTGCAGGCAATCGGTGATAATTTTGATAACCATTGCAATAGTTGGACATTTGTGTAATTTTCAATAGTGACCTATTGAAAATTGATAAAGTATTCAATTTATCAGCTTTGTAGAAAAATTACCAATCGATTGGCTTGTTTAGGATTAAAATCCATCTGCTATTGATAGAGTTATAGCTGGTCAAAACCTGACCAGTTTTGGTAACGCGGTCGATTTTGTTTTTTTTTTATTGCATCCCCAATATGTTGCCAAGAGACGTAACCCTATGTCAAAATGTAAACTTTCCGGGAGACGATGTCATTTCACTCGAAGGCAATTTTGGGAAATATGAAGTAAAACAAATCCTAGCCAACTCACAAGCAGGCTGCTTTTTCATGGTATACAGAGTGCTAATTCAATAATCAATTAATTATCTCAACATTTACTGGCAGATAATTCATAAATGTTGGTAACATAGGGGAAATGGATGTAATGTGTAGCAAGTACGCTTTATGATTAGCACATTAGCAATGAACATTTACAAACTACAATCATAGTTATGCTTTCTATAAATTATTTATTCTGTTATATGTTATTTATTAATTAAAATATGAAATATCGTTTTTTCAAATAAATCTTAAATGTGTTCACCGCTAAGGAACACCCATTATTAGAATGGGTAAAAGAGTTACCCTAGCCATAAAACTGTTCAAATGAGTTCCCGTACACGTTAGCTACAAGCGCAAAGCACATGTCCCGATAGCCTGTTGAGCGTGGCTTCTTGTTCACATTACCGCGTCGATTCGCGTGCATCGACCTGCGCCTAAAACAATTAGGAATGCATTGACCTTTCCTGTTCGGCTTTGCACTTTCCCGAACTCGGGAGAGGAATGTGGCTGGACGATTAATATTCGTTCGGTGGAATGAGATGTCCCTATTTCTATAGGAATTGTCGCATGCTCAATTTTGAGAATCGGTTTCGTGATTTTGGCCTTCGTCTGAAATCACGATTACCGGGGACAAAGGTCACCAAGCGTGGTATCTGAGGACACACTTAGCCCTAACTCGTCCACTTTGTATTGATACGTGGAAGAGGCAAGAGTGGTCAGTTTTTGATCCGTGCCGTGGTGTGTGTAAAAAGGTGAATTGTAACATGTGGTCTCGATAAGGTGTTAATTTATACTAGATTTTCCTTCCCCTAGTTAACAGTAGTGAGCGAAGCTATATTAGCTATTTGGCGGTTAGTGGTTAGCGTGTGACTTAGAGAAAACGGTAAAGTGCAAAGTTTGTAGATGGTGCGTAAACTAAGAGGAAATATGCGTCGTTATATCCATAGATTCGTGGCAGCACAGGTCGTTTGCCGACACACCACCATTTCGTTGGAACCACTCTTTGACCCCACCTATCCATTGCAAAGATTCCCTGGGTACATCGTCAAGTCGTGCCTGGGCAGGCAGGCCATTCGTCGAGGAGAGTACGTTCAGCCAACGTACACACGACCGCTTGTACCACGCTGTCGCGCAAGCCCGCGAATCGGTGAGGGAGACACATCATCAGCCATTGTCGCATCCGCGATCGTTTCTGGGCCGGAGTAGTGCACCAAGCAGCTTCGGTACCGCCGCCAGTCTCCCCACCAAAGGACATCACGTAAAACCTAGGTCGTGAGTAGAAATGCATGCATGTTTGTTTGTGTCGTCCATGGCCATGTGACTCGTTTGAGACACACTCAAATACAGCTATCCCGTAAGCCGTCAATGAACGGGAGTAGCCCTTAGAATAACGAATTAAAGAAATGTGAAGACGACCATTGAAGCAATCGATCGCTGAGTTACCGCAGAGTGCACACAGGAGGAGTACATGGGACAGATACAATAATCTCACACGCTAGGAAAGATAGGTAGTACGTAAGGGGAAAGGATGACAAACAACTAGGCCTAGGCAATGAAAAGGGGAACAAAGCTACGAGAAATAAAGTCTTTGTAAACGTTTGAATTTCTGTGCTTTGAGCTTTATGGTAGAATAGAGCTGTACAAATGTTGATCCCGCTTGGAATAAATGAGTTTACGTTACACTGAATGTTTTCTGTTGTGTACCAATGAGAGATAGTTTGGTTAATGTCTTTTGAGGTTTCATGTTACTTCGCGTTCGTTTTGTAGTTTTTGGAATTTGATGTTTATTGGGTAGTCAGCCCGAATCTGACTAATTTTCTGGCAACTCTGGAATTGGAAGCGTTTCAGTACAAACGGGGACGATTAGGGCTAGGCCGGTGATGATAACCCCCGTTCACGTGTTCCTAGTCTTTGGCCGATTGTCGGAGTTTGATTTGCGTAAGTCTTATAGGAATTAGGGATATCTTGCGCGTCTTACGTGAAGTACGCCGAACGCGTGTTAGTCAGCCAGTCAGCTTCCTACCCGAAATTCGGGAAACTTGATCCTCTCCCTAGGAAGGTCTCAAAGCC